CTTTCAGGGTTTACTATTGTCCTCTATTTCCTCTTTGGATTTGGTGGCCTATGCTGATTCTGATTAGCTTGGTGATGTTATTGATCGCAAGTCCACGTTTAGTTTCTGTATGTTTCTTGGCGATTCTTTGATCTCTTGGAAAAGCAAGAAATAAACTGGTGTTGCTCGCTCTACTGCCGAAGCTGAGTATCATGCTATAGCTCATGCTACTGCTGAAGTTGCTTGGCTTCGTTGTCTTCTTTCTGACTTGGGCATCCCTTAGTCTTCCCCGACCTCCCTTTATTGTGACAACCGTAGTGCTATTTAGATTGCACATAACATTGTCTTCCATCAACGAACCAAGCACATTGAGATTGGTTGTCACTTTGTTCGTCAGTATCTGTAGTCTGGCTTTATCTCACTTCTTTTCGTCTCTTCGGCTTTGCAGCTTGTTGACTTCTTTACCAAGACTCAAACCACTGCTCGGTTTCAGTTTGTTCTTGGCAAACTCCTAGTGTTTTCTGCCTAAATACCTTAAGTTTGAGAGAGGGTGTGAGAATAATATTAGTATAGTATATATTATATGAATATTGTTTTCTATTTATGATTGGTTTAAGTTTATTCTTGTTTCCTATTTAGGATTAGGGTTCTATATCTATTAGAATTCTATATCAGTGATATATTCGTTTAGGATTAGGATTTAGTATTCTATATAAGTGATGTATTCTTTCTTCAGTAAATACAATTGAATATACAGAAATTCTTCAGAATTCTTACATCTGCACCTGGTAAGTACCCGGTACTTGTACGACACTATTTTTGAAGTACCCGTGCTTCATAGACTCTCATGCTTTCAATGCCAACTACAAAAACATCAATGGCTTCTTCTTCTTCATCTTAGTAGCTCAATATTGTTGTTAATGATATCTGTAATTGTATTAAGCTCTGTATTGGCTGTTGTATCAGCTAGTAACTTCAATCAAGACTTTACCATCACATGGGGTGATGGCAGGGTTAAGATCCTCAACAATTCCCAACCTCTTACCCTTTCTCTCGACAAAACCTCTGGCTTTGGCTTCCAATCCAACAATGAATACCTTTTTGGAAAGATTGATATGAAGCTTAAGCTTGCTCCTAGAAACTCTGCTAGTACTGTCACTGCCTATTATGTATGTTTTTCTTGTTATACCTATCATATATATAATATTAGCATCAATGTTTTTCCTAGAAATAGTAAGCTCTTATGATTAATATCTAATTAATATGATTATTGTATTGCAATTATCATCACAAGGAACAACCCATGATGAGATAGACTTTGAATATTGGGGAATTTGAGTGGCGATCCTCATATTCTTCACACTAATGTGTTTAGCCAAGGCGAAGGCAATAGAGAGCAACAATTCAACCTATGGTTCGACCCCACTGTCGATTTCCACACCTACTCCATCCTTTGGAACCCCCAACGCATCATGTAAGCAACCCAAAATTAGTTATTGAACTTATTCAAGTGACATTGCTTTCAATTTTGTATTGATTAAATAATTTTTTGTGTTCATTTCAGTTTCTCTGTAGATGGAACACCCATTAGAGAGTTCAAGAATGCAGAGTCGGTGTTCTGTACCCAAAGAACCAACCCATGAGATTATACTCAAGTATGTGGAATGCTGATGATTGGACAACAAGAGGTGGGCTTGTGAAGACTAACTGGACTTAAGCTCCATTCACTGCTTCATATAGAAACTTCAATGCCAATACTTGCATTTAGTTGTTTGGATCATCTTCTTGCAGTTCAAGTTCTTCATCTTCTAAAAACAATGCATGGCTCTCAAAACAATTGGACTCCAGATACCAAGGAAGATTGAAATGGGTGCATAAGAACTACATGATATACAATTATTGCACTGACTCAAAAAGATTTCTACAAGGATTTCCTCCAGAATGAAGCATGTCATAGAAATTTAAAAACAATATATATCACCGCCTTTCTTGTATCATAGTCATACCTAATAATTTTTGCTATAGTTATTTATTTGTATGTAACATCCACTGTTCAATTCTTTTATTGTTTATCATTGTAATCGCTTTTGAAGCTTGCAAAATAAATATTTGATTTATGAATTCTGATTTGCATCATTCTCATTTGCATAACAAAACTCGTCCTTGAGTTTTTATTACTTGAAATAATTTGTTACACTAACACTTGTTTGCATCCACATTGTATTTAAAATTGATTTTCTCAAACCTAAATTTTAAATGAGTTTCTATTACTTGAAATAATTTGTTACACCGACACTTGTTTGCATCCACATTGTATTTAAAATTGGTTTTCTCAAACCTAAATTTTAAATAACAATCCCAAAATGAAAGGAACAACTTTCTTTAGTAAATTTAACCCATTTTCATTGAAGCCCGAATCTCCATATATGAAATTCAAAGCAAAGTCTTCAACAAATTGTCTTTTTGTAGATATCAAACCACACAACCCCACCTAAATTCATAAGAGTACCCACTTCCTTATTTGTATCAATAAATTGTAGTAACTCCATTGTAAAAGCATGATCTTGAATGACTTGGTGACCGTCAATCGCATCCACAATCATATTATCATTCAACAATTGTTTGGGCAACCATATTTGAAGTTGTGATTCGTTTTGCTCAACATTAAATAATTTTTCGCCAACTCTATCTTCTAAATTGATTTCAATAATCTTGTCTTCATGAACTTCATCATCTTCCTCAAAATACTCATCAGATTTTGGAGGTAAATCCTAATCAATATGTGGCTATAATGATGAAGATTTTATGTCAAAAAATATTTTATGGAATTCTTCTTCTACTATAGCAACACAAATTAGAAATCCTTTATGTTGTAAATAAACCTTAAACTCTGGTACGTCAAGTTTGAAGGCCGACTCCCATCAATCAAATGCATTTATTCGCAAATCGATGCCTCTGTTGTGGTTTGTATGTGCCAATCGGGTTCATGTCTTCATTCTCAATATCATTCTTATTCTCCTCCTCCACAAATTGTGAATTTGGCTGACGGTTGTGAGGGTCATTTTCTAACGTTCATAGCTTCGAAACGCTCAAATAAGGTTGTAAGCATCCTTTCAAAGCGCTCTAAATGTCGAAACCTCTCTTATATTCAGGCATCTCGTGTTGCGTGATCTCGCTCCTACACCTTCTCAATAGCGGCATATCGACCACATGGTGCTCCTCTTGAAGCCATGATCAAGACTCAAGTTTAATTAAAATGAACATGTAGATAGCAAAATTTTAACGTACCAGAAAAAAGAGCAAACAACAAGATTGAACCATGAACAAATTCGAACTAAAGATACTCTCTCTGAATAAATAATTTTGAGAAAACTCTCAATTTTTATTAATCAAATATCAACTTGAACTGAATAGCCTTAAGGCTTATAATCTTATTTACAATAAATCTACTTTTTACTAATCAAGAAAATATAAAAAAGAAAAAAGGTATATATATATAATCTTGTTAGTCAAGAAAATTTAAAAAGAAAAATATTAATTTTTGCAAAACAAGAAAATAAACTAAATAGGCAACCTAAGAGCATCTTTATCAGGATCAGCAATTTTTTAGTTAAATTATAAATAAAAATCTACTGTTATTATTTTAGCTAGAATTGTTTTTTTGTATATACTTCATCAGGCTCTCCATTCTAAAATTTAATTTCATAAAATATTTATTTTTACTCATTTTCTTTTCTATTTAAATAATTTTTTTAAAAAATTCAACGAACAACTGGGTGGTGAACCAGGTGATCGATCACTTGGTCGAAATTGCCCAATTTTTGCCATATTAAGGTGGTTAACCTGGTGGATGACCAAATGGTAGACCACTTGGTGAAAATTGCCTAGTTTTACCATTAGAATAAATAATAAAATAATGTGTAATCTATGAATAATACCTCGCTTGATGAAGCGAGGTACTGTAACAATGGCAAGCTTTGTTTTGCAATAGGCAGCCTGATGGAGGACTGATTTGGAGCATTGGATTGCTAGTATAACCTCAAAACCATAGTAAAGAGCATGACGTGGATGCTCTAAATAACGGAATGTTTGAGACCCAAAAAGACTTCCACAATTCTACCCACAATGTTATGTCAAGATATGTGTCAACTTTTGATTTGTTATTCACTCAATCATTGAGGGCCCAATTCCCTTACTACATCATTGTAAGTGAATTTGTAAGTCAAATGTGTAACTTTCTAACATTATTCCTAAATAAATAGAAAAACTAAATATTTTAGTTTTAAATACCAATTATAATTAAATAATAAAATAAATATATAATTTATAAATTATGATCTGCGTCAAGCAATACTCCAAAACTACTAAATAATCACTCTAGTTATCTTTCAATCCATTGATTTAAAATAATAATAATAATAATAATAATAATAATAATAAATAATTCATTTATAAATGGTATTTTACTCAGAATATATATAGCTTTTTTTTCACAGAGGAGGAGGAGAGAAGTGGGGTCAAAACCAGTATTTTACTCAGAATACATATAGTTTTTTTCACAGAGGAGGAGGAGAGAAGTGGGGACAAAACCAGCTGGTGGTAGGCACCCATGTAGGTCACTTCTAATAATATTAGGAAGGAAGCAGCTATGAACACTTCCTTCATTAAAGAAAAAAGCAGCGTGCTGTGGCTGCTATGTGGCTGACCCACTTTCACTTGTGGCGGTGCCGCGGCTTCGCCTGGGTCCGTGTTATAGATAGCAGCCTAGCAGGTGAATGCATATATACTGATGGAGCTAGCTGTAAGTAGTCTAGCGAACCCCATATTAGCCAGCTGTTTTGCAACAACACTTTTCACCAACCCACACAAAGCATTATCTTTGGAGTAATGTTAGGGATACCTTTTCTACCAAACAAATAACTAAAAATAACTCACATGGATGTGGAGTCCGTAATTTTGTAAACACCACACCTATTTGAGATATTTGAACACCTATTTGAGATATTTGATCATTTACCTGATAAAATTTGAATTTTATAACATTTTCCTTATTGTCTCACTCACTTACCTCTACACCTTCCTTCTTAGTTTCAAACTCATTGCCCCAAACTTCACACCGATATAAATGTAACCAAAGAGCTTCATTTTACTCCATCAAAAACCAAAAGCTAGCCTCTCCAAAGCCCAAGAAAACAAAACCACACTTCATTCAATAGTTCCACTTTCGACAACCACCACACCTAACATCAACCAATGGCTTCATCAGTGTTGCTAATGATATCTCTTGTAGTAAGCACTTTGTTCATTGTTGTCTCCGCTAGCAACTTCTATCAAGATTTCGACATCACTTGGGGCGATGGTCGTGCTAAGATACTCAACAATGGGGAGCTTCTTACTCTCTCACTTGACAAGCCCTCTGGCTCGGGTTTCCAATCCAAGAATGAGTACCTCTTTGGCAAGATTGACATGCAGCTCAAGCTCGTTGCAGGAAATTCTGCTGGCACCGTTACTGCTTACTATGTAAGATTATAATGTCACACATAAACGGATTTCTATTACAATTTTTTTTTATTAGACACAGATATATTACTTACGACTTGTGTTAATAAATACATGTAACAATCATTGCTTTTTGTATTAATGGTAAGAAAATTAGATAAAAATCCATTTATATGTGGTTTTAAGTTAGCACTAAATTTTCAAATTTGTGTTTATGCAGTTGTCATCACAAGGATCAACACACGATGAGATAGACTTTGAGTTCTTGGGGAATTTGAGTGGTGATCCATACATTCTTCACACCAATGTATTTAGCCAAGGCAAAGGCAACAGAGAGCAACAATTCTACCTATGGTTTGACCCCACTGCCGATTTCCACACCTACTCCGTCCTCTGGAACCCCCAACGCATCATGTAAGTAATCTAAAAATAGTGAAAATTGACTTTGCACTCAAAATTTTGTATTGATTGTCTAATTTTTTGGGGGGCGTCACAATTTCAGCTTCTCAGTAGATGGAACACCCATTAGAGAGTTCAAGAATGCAGAGTCAGTTGGTGTTCCATACCCAAAGAACCAACCCATGAGGATATACTCCAGTCTGTGGAATGCTGATGATTGGGCAACAAGAGGTGGACTTGTGAAGACTGATTGGACTCAAGCTCCATTCACTGCTTCATACAGAAACTTCAATGCCAATGCTTGCATTTGGTTTTCTGGATCATCCTCTTGTTCTTCTTCATCTTCTAATAGCAATGCATGGTTCTCAGAACAGTTGGATTCCACAAACCAAGAGAGATTGAAATGGGTGCAGAAGAACTACATGATATACAATTATTGCTCTGATGTGAAGAGATTTCCTCAGGGCCTCCCACCAGAGTGTAACATGTCCTAGAGAAGTGAAACTCACACTCACTATTGCTCAATTTTTCCACTGCCACTGTATTGTATTTATGATATTCTTTTGTATGTAACTCGCACAATTCAATAATCTTATTTGTGGTTGTTGTGATAATTCTTGAAATCAATAATAGGGATTTCTGTTTTCTATATTCGTCCAAAACCAATGCAGTCATGGAAGGCCCCATGTTGGGAATTTGTGAATGACTTTTCTTTTCTTTTTATTTATTTTTAATTGAAGTTATTAATTGGATTGAAAAATCTATTCAAATAGGAACAAAATTTGAAAAATATATAATAAAAATAAAACTGACAGTGCATAAAAATAAAAAAGTGTAATTTTAGCCATCAACCCTACATGTGTCCAAGTGTTGTACATTGTTTTTGTCTAGCAAACAATTTACATATACAATAACCATAAAAGGGTCAACTTGAAGCTGCACTCCAAACCCAATAATTCTACTTTGTCTCACTCTTTTCGGTCTAAACAGGTCTAATGAATAATTAAGATAACTTAACACTTATCACATTAGTGATATTGAGTAATCAAATTCATTGGTTAATTACAATGGTTAATCATATTTAATCACAGCTACCTAACATTGGGAGAGCTACTCCAAAAAGAAAAATAAATTTTACGTAGTGGTTATCCAAAAGTGAAGGGTGGCTTATAACACCTCACGTATACTTGGTTCCACCCATGTACAAATACACAAGACAAACAATTATATACGGGGGAGGTTTGGAGACCTTTTGGGGGAGGTTTTTGCGAATTTTGAATGTTGGGAGTGCAACCCGTTGCCTTAGGTTTGCTGCTATGTTTGGATTGTTTCGGTAGGTTACTCACCAAGCTGTGCTTAGCAAATGATTGGACGTCCATGTTGGTGTCAATATAATTGGGATGGTTATACTCGCATTAATATTATTTTGCACTCACCTTTCTTTGTTAATATTTATCTTTGTAACTTGTACCTTGATCTTGATTAATAAATTTTTTTTTTCGCTGATAAAAAAAAGACAAACAATTATATATACAAAATATAAAGGTTTTCTGTATTTATTTTTTCTTTAATCAGCATCTTAAGACAAAAAGCAGCATCCTCTTTTTTTTCCTCTATCCATATGCATCTCTATTCACCTCTATGCTCAAGAACTACCACCATCATCGCCACTCCCGGTCACTGCTACTCTACTATCATTGCCCAACCTTACCCACCACATTTCCAATGCCCAGCTTTCTACGAGTCATGCCTAATTATTTTCCTTTACAATAATAAAATTATATGGATTCTTTTCCCTCCCAATCTTTTTCCTTTCAAACACAAATTAATGTGTACTAATTGGGCATTATTTTTTTATTAAAAATAATTACATGACTTGATAATTTTTTTAAAAAAGATGTCATTTGTTAGAGCATCTCCAACAGTCTGTTAAATGGATTGCTAAAGGCAAAATATAGCAATGTGAAAAAATATAGTGCTCCAACGGTCTGTTATTGGAGTTGCTAAAAATAACAATTGTTATATTTTGTGTCAAATTTGATACAAATTTTACCTATAGTTAAAGTTGCTAGCACAACACAGAGAGAGAGAGAGAGAGAGAGAGAGAGAGAGAGAGAGAGAGAGAGAGAGAGAGAGAATATGAAACTGAGACTGAATTGAAATCAATGCAAGAGAGAGAATATTGGACGATCGCCTAAACAACCACCAAAATGACCACCTAATGTTTGCTAAAGTTGTAAATTTGAATGACCGCCCGAACAATCACCCAGACAATCATGCAAAAGTTAGTTAAGCTAAAAATAACAATTTGACCATTGAAACAACATTGTTATCCTATTGCTATTTTACACTGTTCATTACTAAATTCTAACTTTAGGTATTTATTTTACTTATTTACCATTGGAGATGGTCTTATGCAATTAGAAAATTGAAAAAACGTGATATAATTTTTAAAATCACATAAGACAATCTGTATTTTAGACAAATCTCAAATAAAAAAATAAAAATATAAGGAGCTAAAAAAGCAGCCCATTTTGGGTATGGCTTTTTTTACGCCTTTTTTTGTTTTGTTTTTTTTCTCGTCTTTAGTGATTTTTTTTAAAAAAAAAAATTTAAGTTCTATATTCAACTCGATAGAATAAATTGAAAAATTATAATTTTTAAAAAAAATCTAAAATGAGACAAAAATAAACAATATGTTTTTGCTTAATTTTATCTTTAATGATTTTCTTAAAAAATATTTTTAAATTCAGCTCACTTCATGTGTTTGTTTGGTCTGTCGAACATTTTATTGTTGTTCTTATCTCCTCAGAGAAACGCTCTGTGTTGACCTCTACACAATGGCACACAATACTATCACAACCCCCGATTCCTCTTCCTCTTACACAGAGCAGAGATCAGCAGGCAATGCCATCGCCGAAAACAGCGATCTCATCACACAGATCTTAGTTCGATTGCCTGTAAAACCCCTTACCCAGTTCAAATCTGTGAGCAAACAATGGCTCTCTCTCATCTCCGATTCCCAATTCTCTCTCCACCACTCTCGCCGCAATCGCAAACCCATCTCAGCTCTCTTCCTCCTCAGCCTCAACAAGATCAACCCAGAATTCTCCTTCCTTCCCTTCGCCGATTGCTCTCTCGGGTCACCACATTTCCAGTTCCTTGCCCACCCAGGTACTTCAATTTTGCATTCTTGTAATGGGTTGTTGTGTTTTTCTAAGTTGGATGACACTACGGAAAGTTCAATTCTCAGATACTATGTATGTAATCCCACTACCAAACGATCTGCTAGAATTCCTTTACTGGGTTTGGTTCATAATTGTAGAATTCGTAGAGGGTATTTTAGGGTCGATCACAAACTTTGCAATGTCAAAATTGAAGAATCTACAAGGCCAGGGAATGATTTGAAGATAAACTTGTTGGGTATTTATGTAGCTTTTGATCCTCTCAAGTCACAAAACTACAGAGTTGTCTGTGTTTGGGAATCGAATGCTGATATGTTTAATTATGAAATAAGAATTGCCGTTTACCATTCGGAGATAGGTTTATGGGGTGAACTAATGGGAGCTTTTACAATACCTTATGCAGTATGTTTTAACAATGGAGTGTTTTGGAATGGAAAAGTGCATTGGATTAGCAATAGTGACATTGTATGTTTTGATATTGATGAAGGATACCTTAAAATTATGCCATTGCCGTTGACTTCTAATGGCTCGAATGTTATGTATTTTGGAGAGTCGAGTGGCCATTTGCACCATGTTGTAAATTTCAAAGGTAGCAAGGCTCTATTCAATGTTTTTGAGATGGAAACGGACTACTCTGGGTGGGTTCTGAAATATTGTTGTGATCTTGACACGGTGATTAGACCCCCAGATATGCTTTTGAACCACAAGTCTTGTGCATTTTCTCTGATATTTCTGGGCAGAGGAGAGAAAGAAGATGAGTCTTGTCTTGTGATAGGAATACATGGTAAACTTATTTCTTATGATCTTAAGAATATGACCTCAAAGAAGCTTATTGATTTGCTGCCATTTTGTTATAAAAATGGTTGGGCACAGCGTGCACGCTACAAAGCTTTGCCATATAATGAGACTCTATTTGAAGTTTAAATATGGTGCTTCGCTGATGTTACCAAATTTTCGAACTCAACAGCATATGTGATCTATAATGCTCATGCTTAGATGAGTGCTTTTTGCACTAGTTTACATGGAACCTTAGAGAGTAATGTTATATTTGAGGGGAAGGATAATTACCTTGTCTCCGTAGTATGTCAGGCACATGACTTGGTGTATATGCTTTTTGGGCTCCTGTATTTGTCAATATCTTTGGGATGCGTGGTTCTTGACGACACATATGATGAGTTTGGAATTCATTTGTCATCTTTTGCTTGAAATACATTTCTGGAAGTTTGTGATTAGTTTTTGCCAGCATTCAATGTGGCTTGGAATGAATGTATATAATTTGTCTACTACCGAATTCGTCACTTACCATTTCGATGAAAGGGAAATGGCTTACCACTGTAACGCTGATAGAATTAGCAGTGTGTTCAAGCTAATGCTTTTCTCTGATGTTATGATTTTATGGTATGATTTATCTTCAGTTTCAGACATGACAATTCTCTTCTGCTGTTGTCTATGTCAAGATACCTGCAGTCACGAGGCTTTTTCTTTCACATGCATTGGAGGCTTGGAGCTCATGAGTTCTTCAACAATTCTCTTTCTTTCTTGTATGAATAATTTTTCTTTTGTTCTTATTGTAGCAAAAACTTTCTCTTGCAATGAATTATAAGATCATCTGTTTAGCATTTTAATTTTCATTACTCTTTACTGTATTTTTTAAGTGACTCTGAGTTTCACATCATAGTAAAAGGTAATTAGAGTGGAGCATGCATGCACATTGAAATGGAAATAGATGAACACACAAATTAAAGCAGCACTGTTAGAAGAAAATTGGGAGAAATATTGAGAATGATTTCAGTTGATCACCTGAAAATTAAATCTCAAATTATGATACTTGGGCTAGTAAAATTTATGAAATGCTTATTCTTTGGACATCTACTACTAAAAAAAAGGCACTTTTTGTGTTGGTGGGGTGCTGACACAAATAATCAAATGGCTCACGTGAAAGACCTTAAGCGACTGTGGGAATGGGAAAAAGTATTTGTGACGGCGCACTAAATGTGATCTTAGTGCTCGTAACTGTGAACGGGACACAAGTGAGACTATATTTCTCAAACGGGACACAAGTGAGACTATATCTTAATAAAATAAAAATAAAAATAAAAATCTTTTCTGAGATGTGTAATGCCTTAGACTGCCCTAGTTCTAGAATTTCAACGTCAGTGTTAATAATATTATTCTCTTTAACAAGAACTTGCAATGTTATTTACAAGTTATTATTGAAGGAAAGCAATCTTAGTTTCAGAATAGTTTTATGTCTCTCTGCAGTACAAAATAACAAGAAGTTTTAAAACCATAGTTTGATAGTAGACATTTTGAATACTCCTCAACCCCATTGACAAACTGTTTTTCAAAGATTTTTGACAAAGGGCAAAACAGTCCAAAATCATCTGTTTTGTATCATTATCAATAGATCATGGAGCTGAACACAAACATCAGGCATGCAAAATAGCAACATTATCAAACCATGGAGCAAATTAGGTCAGTTCAATTTATAGAACCTGTTAAGTGGGGAAGGGGAGGAGGAATAAATATGTTATGCAGCCAGAAAACATTTAGCTGTGTGCAAGTTGTCTATCAGCTGTGGATGTAGTTTGCTGGTATTTCACTGTTTATTTATTTTTTAACTGACTTAAATGTAATTCAAAGAAGAATAGGTCAAAAATAAAATAAATAAGACAACAATTGACAATAATATGCAATGGACTTCTCAGCTAGCAAATATAAACTATGCTAGCAGAGGAGTGTCTAACCGTACTGAAGGGACTTGACAATATTCACACTTGAAGACTGATAATTTCTCATCTCTTGATGGTGAAATTCATTACTCTGATGTCTTCACTGTTGGAACTTGGAAGTTGCAAGTGGTATGTATTCTTTGAATTTTTCTCTTCTTTATTACAATAAGTGGGATCGGTAAAATGAAACAATAACTGCTTTCATGGTTTCTTGTAATGACTCCAGGAATTTACTGTTCTATCCCAAAGGATATTCAGAAGAAAAGGACAAGTACCTGTCCCTCCTTTTAGAGTTAGATAATTGGGAATATTTCCTTCTAAACAAAAAAATATATGCGGAATTCAATTTGTGGATAAGGAACGAATACCATGGTCATGATCAGGAAATTACAGGTGAAGTTTTTCCTTCATATGTTAATTTAAATACAAGATCGAGAGTCGGCCTCCTATGATAAGTACTTATTTCCAATTTTAATTTGTTTGTTTTCCCGAAATTAGAAAGGGCTTTGCCTTTACTTGTAACTCTTTGGCAATCAAATACAAAGAACCACTCAACAATTGTGTTGCAAATTGCATGTGGTTCTGTGTTCTAATTTGCATGTTCTGTGTTCTTATCTGTGCTATTGAATATTTTGTTTGCTTATGAAGTGTGGATTAGTTTGAACTCGGGTGTTTTGCTCTGAACTTTTTTGAAGACTTTTAAAGTTTAGATAATACAGAGGGAAGTTTAAGAGGTTTTGATTAGCTTTTAATTGTAACAAATTAACCCTACAACGGCTGAGACCATCGTGGTGGTGGTGACCAGATATAGCAACTGGTGGATAGAGAGCTGAGCGCACGAGAGAGAAAATAAAATTACAGCAAATTGATTGTAGGAATAGGGAACGGTTAACCAAAACAATGTAAGGGTTTTGGTACAGTATTGGCAATGGTATTTCATGGCAAAGCAATAATACTCATTTTGCGGTTAGTGATGGATATACCCCATCACAAATAGTATTTCTTTTTTTACAATTTTTTTGTGATGGCTTCATTTCCATTACTAAAAAGATTTGGCTACTAGTTTTTTGCATCGGCCAATATGCCATTGCAAAAGTGCTTTCTGTGACCATTTTTTTTTTTTAATTTTTGCGTTGAACCATTAGTTGTCACAAATAGTAATTTTTTTGTGTACATATTTTTGCATTGGTGCTTTTTTCCGTGGCAAGGAGTACTTTTTCGAGACTAATTGTCTTGCTATCAGGGAAAAAAGCTATTTCTATTTTTGTCAGTCAAAGAGCCGACACACAAAAATGGGTGCAGAAAATCCTTTTTTCTAGTAGTGTTAATACTATTTTGAAACTGATTTTGTTTTTTTGTTTTATTTTTGTTGTAGTTGATGTTAAAAAAAAATTTGTCAGCTGAAAAAAGTGTTTGATTCTTCCTTTCACAATCAACACTGATAGATTATTAAATTGCAAAAAAAAATAAAAATAAAAATAACAATTCCTCTTACTATTGTGGATCATTGCTAAATTCGTTCAAGAACATTGCATTGTAAGCACTAGCAGGTAGTTGAAACCATCATTGATGATGTATTGCCTATTAAATTGAAATTATGGTGCATTTGGAAAATAGCTTATGATAAAATCTGAAAGTTTTAATGTTCAAACTGCTTGAGTTTTAAAAGCTCATCAGAAGTCATAAAATTGATGGCTGGAAGTCATATTTCTCCAATTTGGTTTTTGAACCATAATTATGGATTACTATTCTAGTTAACAATTTCCAAATAAATGTTTGCTTGATGATTTATTCCATATTCAGAAGTAGTTTTGAACTCTTTTGAGATAGAATTATGTCATTGTGACTAGTTACTCTCCCCAACATGAATATATAGAAAGTTTATGATTTTTAGTTTATTATTTGATGTGTCACCTATTATCTATGCAATGGTATAAGACACGAAGATAGATCTTATTAAATCAATGCATTGGTGGCACATCCGATAGTGTTCAAAATTTGGTCACCGTAGTATTGTTCATTTTTGCCCTCGTTGTTTTCTGATAGAATTTGGGCATGATCTGTGGGTTGCGGTCAAGATTCATATGTTTGTGGGTCTGCGAGGAAGTTTTTTACCCCACAAGACCTAATTAAGAAGTGATATTACAAAAGAAACCAAACAAACAAAAAATAGAACAGTACAAAACAATGAAAAATATAGTAATGGTGCCAAATGATATGCCTTTTATACATCACTTTTATGCATATGCACAAATACATAAACTTTCTTAACTTCTCTCTGTCAAGAGAGAGCTCTTAATATTTGGTGATTGTAACATAATTAGAAAGTATGAGAACCTGTTATGTGATTTACGCTCTTTCTTCTGTAAGGAACATTTTGAAATTCACCAAAAAGTTCATGAATATTTTTTATTTGGATTAGGTGAGGATCCAAATTCCATATCTGAATTGGTCAAAACAAAAACAAAAATTGACCCAGAAACCAGAATATGCTGCAAAATATGGAAAATTCTGAATTCTGAACCTAGAAAAGATGTGAAGATTAAGACAGTTCTAATGCATTTCAATTGTCCTGTTTTTGTGCTTTATCTCTGCATTTGATATTATTCAAAGTCTGTCCATCAAAGTAACTTGACAGTCTTCATTCTTTGAGAAGCCCATCTCTGGCCATGGAAGTACTTGTATGGACCATGGGCTTCCTGTACTGCAGTTTCACTGTTTCTCTGACTTTTTTCTTTTTCTTTTGTTTTTCGCTAGAAAAATACGCACCATTGAATTCTTAACCACCCATGATGTATGTACATTTTCTGTTTGATTTATTATCAATTGCATTTAATTTTGCTTGTTTCATTTCAACCCTTATTTGTTTTGCTTTGATCGGTTGCAAAACATTAATTACTTGGACTAGCCTTGGAAAGAACACCTTGGCTGAGTCATGGAGGATACTTATAGTATTAATAACACATAATTCTTGTTATTGTGGTAATAGAGGATACTTATAGTATTTAATTACATTAGCAAAAAAGATACTGATATTCATGGTTCTCTCTCTTCAGATTGCTGTGACCTTGCATTCTGGAGGGAAGCCGTGGGGAAATCGTTTCGTATCCGTGCAATAGTTGTAGATCATGAAATTCTTTTGCACCCATTTCAGCCTTTCCAGGTTTATGGCATCAGATTCGCGGGACAGCCAACCGCAAGAAGTTGCTCCAGAAGGCCATACACATGCATCGGCTTTGAAATTTGCATACGAAGTGGTGAAAGGAGCTTGTGTCCAATCTGTCTTAATGAGCCCGCCTCTCGTCGCCCAGTCATCAGCATTCCAAATGCTTGAGTATAGCCTCATTGGCTGGTTCTTCGGGTATGGAACGCCAATTGACTCCATGTTCTTGAACTCTCTGACCGGAGTTCCATCCACAAAGAAGCTGAAAACAGAGGAACAAAAATCATTTTTGATTCATTTCATACATAGATGATATATGCAGCCAACAAGGCTAAATCAATGCTTACACAATGATTTTGGGATTCCAGAGGATGGAGTAGGTGTGAAAATCAGCAGCGGGGTCGAACCATAAGCGAAATTGCTGCTCTCTCTCACCCTTGCCGTGGCTATACAAATTGGTGTGAAGAGTGTACGGATCACCACTCAAATTTCCCAAGAACTCAAAGTCTATCTCATCATGCGCTGATCCTTGTGAAAATAACTGCAATAAACAAACACCTTTTTACACTGAAAATGTCGTGTTTGTTGAGACTAGTACGAAGGGAAAGAAATAGATACATACATAGTAGGCTGTGACAGTGCCAGCAGAGTTTCCAGGGACAAGCTTGAGCTGCATATCGATCTTTCCAAACAGATACTGGTTCTTGGATTGAAAACCCGAGCCAGAAACTTTGTCGAGGGAGAGCGTAAGAAGTGCGCCATCGTTGAGTATCTTAGCGCGATCATTGCCCCAAGTGATGTCCAATTCTTGATTGAACTTAGCTGCTGAAGAAACCATCATTGAAGAAGCAAGTAGTATAGAAATTGCTAAACACATGACAACAATGAAACGAGATAGAGAAGCCATATTGTTAGTGTTTTATTGAAGCTTTGGTTGTTGAGTGAGATTCTTGAGATAGATATATAGCATATATTTCTGTCTCATTGTGGGGGTGATTATTCAGTATTTTTAAAATATGAACTCGTGATGTTCCATAAAGTTTTAATTGATGGAGACGAGTAGGGACTCATGATTTATGTTAAGATAGGGAACACTATGAGTTAAGTAATTGGTGATTGGCTTGAAGTATAGTCACGTGGTCTTCTGAAATTATTGAATATTTTTTCATCTGTGTGTGTATATATACATATATAGAGTGAGAGAGAGAGAGAGAGAGAGAGAGAGAGAGAGGAAGATGGAGTGAAGAAGGGTGGAGAAGATGAGAGAGACAAGGGGGGGTTTGGAGTTTTGCAGAGCCAAGTGGCAAAATGCAAGCAGAAGGTGGCGAGGAAGGAGTGAAGTTTGTAGACTGCTACTGTGGATAAGCTTAAAGTAAAGTAACGAAGTAAAAAAGAAGATTGTTTTATAATATTACTTTGCTTTTTGTTTTTACTTGACTTTACGTTATAAATTATTATTTTATTATTTTAATAATTATTATCTAAATAAGAAATTTATTATAAATATTCATGTAAAAAATGACATAAAATGATGGAAAACAAGCATTTTTGGGTATGAAATGAGCTTTTGTTTATGACAAAATTTAGTTATGATATGCTCAAAAATGAGAGTATATTTGGATTGAATGATTTGGAAAAAGAAAAAAATCTAGTTCTTTTTAGTCGTAAATAATTGTTTGGATTGCAAAGAAATGGAAAGAAATGAAAGAAAGTAAGAAATTACTTTCCCAAAATAACTTTTGAATCTCCACTTGTGAATAAAAACTTTTGAGAGAAAAGATATGAGGTGATTATTAATTTTATAATATCAAAATTGTGCATCTAACTACTAAGAAAATAAAAACATAGAAGGTTATTTTTATAATATAATTTGTAGTAGATTCTTTTTTTTCTTTTTTACCATTTTTGTTATTTTATTTTATTTTTTTTAATTTAACCTATATACATATTATAGGAGAGGAATCACTATTTTGTTTCACTTACTTAACCAAATAAGGAGAAAAAAAATTATCTGTTTTGCCTTTTTTTTTTTCTTCTAATTAATTAACAAATTATTTCTTGACACTATATTTGGTTTATAAATTTAGATAAAATATATATATATATATATATATATATAAAAGAGAAATAGAGAAAAAACTAATTAACTTATATATCATTTATATTTCTTTTACATTTTTACTTTTTTTTTTCCTTTAAATTTCTGCTCAAATTTATCATCTAAATACAATATTACTTTTTCTGTCATGGATTTCAAAAAAATCTGTGCTCTTGTGCCGACTCCACCTCTTTGCCAGATTTGGTTTTTTTATCATTTTATCTTTACTTGCAGCAAGGAAACCTGTCGTCATATGGATGTTGAGCCGCATGCCATAGCATTATTTATATATATTTTTATAAGAATTATTGATTAAGCTCACTTAAAAAAAAGAAAAAAAAGAAGAAGAAGAAGAAGAAGAAGAAAGAAAAGAAAAGAAAAGAAGGTAAAAAAAAAAAGTGGGGGAAATTGTAAATAAGTGGAAAAACACAACAAACAAAAAAAATTACAAATGAGTGGGAAAATAAAAAGCAATTGCGAAGGAAATACAAGGTTGGAAAACATTTGGAACAACATAAAATCTCCTTTATTTAGAAAAAAAAATAAAAAAATAAAAATGGAACCAAAGGAGGACCCTTTCTTTCTTTCGAAATTATCAAAATGATTATTCCTTATCCCTTTTCTCTTTCCCATGCAATTCTAGTGGCAAACACTGTTAGAGAAAAATTGTTGAATAAGAAACTGTCTCATAAATGTGTATATAACTCACACATTTAAGGCTCATTAGTTTTACAAAATTGATTAGGCAATTTTGCTAGCATTAGTTGCCAGCCTTGATGGCTAGAGGCTCCTCCCCTCTCCCCCATGGTGTATAAAAGGAGGCCCTATTCCTTCAAAAGAGATATATAATTTTTCCTTGACATCCATACACTGTCAGTCTACTTCTCCTATAATTTTCTTCCTGAGAGAGAGTGCTGCCGTTTTCCATTCGCTAAGCTAATCAGAAGGTGCTTCTGTTGTAACTGGTAAAAACCGTCGTATCTTGGGAAGTAGACACCAGCGAACCTCCAGCACCCAACAGTGAGGCGACGAATCTATTTTAAGGAGACTGTGGTATCACACAGGTTTCGGTTTGCTTCCTTTAACCATTTTATATTTTATCTGTATTTTATTCAACATGTTATTTTTCCTGGGATTGAAGGTTTGTTTTGTTCATCTCATAATTTTGCGATATGCAATGTGAAATTATGTAATGTGAGTAGTTTTTCCCAACAAGCTTAAAATGTATTCGACGTTTATCATAGAATTAGATTAATAGATTCATAGGTGTGTGTAATAATTTTGAATATAATTGGCCACTGGCAGTACTAGCGAGTTAATTGGTTTATTTGATGCATGTACACAGGGTTAAGCTTTTGATTTTACCATTTTGTGTATGCTACTGTTTGGTCTTCCCATGGCATGGAATAGGCCACTGTTATTAATAAGGAAAAAGAGTTCCATTGGTGCAACGTTAATTCACTGTATTTTCTAATTAATTTATTAATTTATGGTGTACCGGTTCATGCCTTGTATTTCTAGATTTACATGCTTCTAGTTCACAATATAAATTACATGTTCATTCGGGTTTAATTTTTAGTGTAATTTACATTTCTAGCATGTTTATTCAGTAGTAAATTTTCATGTAACTTGTACCTATTAATCTTTAATTTAGGTGTGGAGTTGTAAAGTTTATAACTTGCCTATATTTAAATTCATGTTAATTTCTCTAGAATTATTTGCATGTTAATCATGTCATTTACAATTCTTGCCTAGTAATGTGATTTAAGTATTTAGGAGTTATAAAATTTTTGTAACTTGCCTCAATTAATTACATGTTTAGTGTACCATAAATTCATATGTAACCTTTACCAATTTAAAATATGGTTAATTTAGGTCTGTAACTTATATAGTTAATTACATGTTTATTATGTAATTAATTTTTTACAGCTTTTTTTTTTTAGTTTAAATTCTAGATGTGTAACTTAAAGGTTGGTTTTAATCTTTACTTACAGTTATTTATTAGTTTGTTTGCTAGTACCCTCCCCTTCAATCACTACTTGGCCAAAAGCAAAGAAAAACTGAGGGAGGTTTTGTTGTATTTTGCTGCTAACTCTTTATTGCAGGAATACCTATGGAAATGGGAAAAGGTTTAATTTGGACTAAATATTTGAAGCAATTGTTTGCTTGAGTGTTCATTTGTGGTTATTCACTAATATGTAAAACACGTTTTATTTGCTTGTAATTATTGTGGCAATTTTGTTGTAATTGTTTGTACAGTTTGGAACTTGGTGTGTTTAACCTAGTTCATCCATTGGAAAATTTTATTCTTAAAGTTGTTTCCCATGGACTAGGAGTCAACATGCTCTTGAAAGTTTTGTCTAAGGTTAACTGGGTTTTAAGTGGGACCGGTGTGACTTGGGGAGTAAGTGGATCTTTCGAAGAAAGATGAAAGCGAATGGGTCAATTGACAAATATAAAGCTCAGCTAGTTATCAAAGGATACAGACAGCGAGAAGGCTTGGATTACTTTGATACGTATTCACCTGTGACAAGGATTACATCCATTCACATGGTGATTGCAATAGCAGCTTTACGTGGTTTAGAAGTACATCAGATGGATGTAAAGACAGCTTTCTTAAATGAAGATTTAGATGAAGAAATCTACATAGAGCAACCCGAGGGGTTTTCAGCTCCAGGAAAAAGTAAGAAAGTCTGTAAGCTTGTCAACCCATTGTATGGTTTGAAGCAAGCTCCCAAACAATGGCATGAGAAGTTTGACAATGCTATGTTGTTAAATGGATTTCGAATCAATGAGTGTGATAAGTGCGTATATGTTAAAGACACTGACAAATGTTATGTCATTTTATGTCTATACGTTGATGACATACTCATTGTTGGTAGCAATGATGAAATGATTAAAGCTACCAAAAGATTGTTAAACTCTAAGTTTGACATGAAGGATGTGGGCCTTGCAGATGTCATTCTGGGTGTTAAGATCACCAGAACATCTGGTGGTATTGTACTTTCTCAAGCTCATTATCTTAATAAGATACTTGAGAAATTTGGAAAGTCATATACAAGTATGTTTAGGACACCGGTAGACTTAAGTCTATATTTGACCAAGAATAATGGTGAGAGTGTCTCTCAACTAGAATATTCTCGGGTCATTGGGAGTTTGATGTATCTGATGAGTTGTACAAGGCCGGATATCGCCTACGCTGGTAGTAGGCTGAGTAGATACACAAGTAATCCTAATGCTACTCATCGGAAGGGCATTATGCGTGTGTTGGGGTATATCCGTTACACCTTGGATTATGGGCTGCATTATACCAGATACCCAGCGGTACTAATTTATGGCATGGTAGATTGGGTCATGTAAATTTTGACTCTTTACGTAGATTAATCAAGTTAGATCACATACCATCTTTCAAGATTAATCCACAACACAAATGTGAAACTTGTGTAGAAGCAAAATTGACAAGGTCTTCTTTTCATTCTATTGAAAGAAGTACCCAGCCTTTGGGTTTAGTGCATAGTGATGTGTGTGACTTGAAAGTTGTACAATCACGTGGTGGCAACAAGTACTTCATCACTTTTGTTGATGATTGCACTAAATACTGTTATGTGTATTTGCTTAAAAGCAAAGACGAGGCTATTGATAAATTTATTCTTTTTAAGAATGAAGTTGAAAATCA